AGCTCGGTGGAACGGCATCACTGCCTGAAGGCAGCATCACTGGTCAACAGAACCAAGACTTGGACCTGGATCTCAGCATCCAAATCTATGTTCCCTGTATTTCTCTCTCCACTTGCCTGGACATGGAGGGCTATTACAAAGTTCCATTCTTTTTTAAAAATTGTTTTCCAATGGGCTCTGACCTGGTGCCTACAAATTTCGTATCATGTTTAGAAAAGATTCAGCCCCTCAAAACCATTTATTCTTTCTTAATTGTATATTTAAGCTACAGCTAGAGGAATTTCAAATAGGTAGACATGGGACAAAATTTTGAAGAGGGAGAGGACTTATGTACTAAAATTACTTAGAAAGTTTATGCAACCTCTCTTCTTAAGAGCATCCCATAAGAAGCAATGGGATAGGTGAGGACGTTACAGCAGAGCTAGGTGTAACATCCTTTTAAGCAACGGATAAATTCTCATCTGGGTAGGATGGCTTACATATGACAAGGGCGGACTCTGTCCTTTCAGAATCCTTCTGGTCTGATGATGGAATGGCATCTGGAGAATCTGGGCTTTCCTTATTCACTGAATAAATGGATTAGTTGCTCCACAGAACAAAGCAATGTTAATTCTGCTGGTGAGTTCTGCATCATGCAACCTGACATCTGTGGCTTCACCAAGGCCTCATTCTCTCAATGCTCACTTGAAATTTCAACTACAGTGGTTCTGTTTGGTCATCTTTGAGGTTAGCTAGATACCACTGAAGTTCTGGATAAAATAGTCATCCACTCCCCTGAGCTGGAAGAAATGGGAACAGAAAGCTTAGGACAGATCACCTGTAGTTCTGCTGCAAATTAAAACAGAATCCTGCCTGTTAACTATGTGCAGAACCACGAGGCAAAAATGACCCATGAAAATGATCCGTAGATGTAAGGCGAGCTAGGCCCCCCGCCCCCACCCCCCCCACCCCCCCCCCCACACAGGTTGAAGAGAAGTCCTGGGCTTGCCATTTCAGAGGCTACATCTTCAATTATGAATTAGCCCATAAAACTTGGAAAAACCATATTCTCACCTTAAAAAATATAGACGAGAGGCAAGGAATTGTAAGCAATTAAAAAAAAAATTCCAGGAAGAAGAGATTTAAGAGAGAAATGTTAAAGACAATGGAGTAATTTCTGAACAAGAAGGAAGGCACATATGCAGGATGCCAAAGAGGGACGTCTAACCACCCAGCTGTACCCACACACAGAGGCACACACAGCAGCCCAAGACATGCCTCTGTGTTCATGTAAACTAAATATAAAGAAGTCCTTCTCCAACCCTCCTCTCAGGAAGCATTGGGTTTTTCTGGCGTGAATAGTTAACTTATTAGGTTAACCAGAAAAGAGACTGAACTGCACTGACCACTGTGGGCAGGCATTTCTCCTGGCCTCTAACCCGCCCCTCCAGGGAAGGTCAGACACTGACTGACTTCTATCCAGATTGGGTTGATGTGTGCATATAAGCTGTAATAAAGTCCCTCCTTATGATATTTTCAGATTAAAAAAATTCTTACATAGAAACGACTTTACTAAAAAGTCAGGCTGTGCAGGACCTTATGTGTCCTCTCACATACACCTACTTGCAAAAGCGCTGCAGCTCTCTGCCAATGCTGACCCTTCTGCACAAAAAGCTTTGCAATGTAATAGTGGTTTCCAGGAGTCAGGAATTGGAGATTTATGCTACATTTGAAATGGTTTATTAATTAAGGGCCTTGAGTCATCATGCAAAAAATGGGGACATTAAGGAGAAAGTTATTCCTATTTGCTCAGCAAAATGAATTGAGCAACTATTATTAGCTCACAGTGGCACACGCTCTGCAAAGGTGTTCAGGATGCACATACTGGGTGGGAAATCCTCTTGAACTGGACGGCAGTAAGGTGTGTATGTGATCACAAAGTGGGTACTAACTGGCTACCTGAGGGGCCTATGGAAGCACGAGGAGGCAGAATGGCTGGCTAACGCGGTGGGTGCAGAAGTCTGGGCACTCAGCCAGGTCAGGTGAGGACGTTACAGCAGAGCTGTGTATATGCAAGTACGTGGTGGGGTTTCTAGCTTTAAAATGTGTATTCTTTAACCTCGTTCTAACACTGGCAATACCACTGGTTACCAGGACTAGACTAGGGAATCTCTGGTCACCACACAAACTGGCACTGCCTACAGCCAAGATCAGAACTCCGGCAAAAGAGTGACCCAGTTGGTGAAAGTGTATTAAAGTTAGAAGTATCTTTGCCTCTCCTAAGCTTACCACAAATCATTTTACTGTGTGATTCACTTTAAAACTAGAAAGTGAAACAGCTACTTAAAAAAATAAAATAAAACCTCTCCCTAACTTTCCAAACCCTACAGAAAACACTTTTTTTTTTTTTTTTTTTTTTTTAGGGAGCAACACTTTAGAGCAATTAATAAACTTTTTAATTGTAGAAAGTTGGTGTGTATGGCTTCTCTTAATGACGTTCGACTAGAACAATCCTATGCAATTACCAACCTACATTAATGCAGCTCTCATGGGGCGCCACAAAAACCCTGCACAATCGTCAACAGGGAGACTGGAGGACAGGGTGGGCAGGAACACAGCCCAGGGAGAGACACAGTGGAGCTTAATCACTGTGATTTGGGTTTTGTCACCAAGTCCCAGGTACAAGCGCTTTCATGCACTGTCAAGGGACCTCCCTGTTAATTGCGGCTCCTGTCTTCCAGGGACCACACACTCTAATTTGCAGTGATTCTGGTTCCTCCAGCGATGTGCATTTGGTGGCTACATCCCCCTTTCCTCCAGAAAAGGCAGGCTGCTGAGGCTCTGATCATCCAGCTCGCTCTGCCACCTTCAACAGACTCAAGTCACACAGCATCCCGTTTACCAGAGTCGAGAAACGACTGTGACTCCACCTACAGTGGATGGGAGGCCCTGCCACCATCCCTGCAAGGCTACATTCTTCTCTTCTCCAGTAAGTTTGACTTTCAACACGAGAGTTATTTCTACAGAATGATTTAAGTAATTTCTGCATGGTCAGTCTAAAGCAGAAAATGTGGGTAATCTTCAGAGGTGGTCAGGCTGTCCTGGTCAGCACATTCAGAACATGCAATCCCAGGTGCCTGCTTTTCAGGGGACTTTGTAGAGCCCCTGGGATTCGCTGGATTGGTTAGATGGCGCGGCCGATGTTTTGTGCTTTGGCTTTGGAGACTTAGCCCTTTCCAAGCCTACTCCATGCCCACGCCGTACTAGGCAAGACCTCATGACTGATTTTCTTCCACCATCAAATCAGAGCAGAGATAGGGCCCCAGATGGAATATCATTCTTAAAAAGGACACCCTCCTTTCAAAACAAAGAACGGGAAACCAAAGAAACAAGAGTCGATCTAAACCGAGAAACTATTCTGAACTCAAAAATGTTCCAAGTCAGTGCAGCACAGGCTATAGTTAATGGGATGATGGCACGTGTCAAAACACAGCAACTGAATGCCCTAACTCTGTGCCCCAGGATTCTATATATTACTATGGTATTTGATGCCTAGCTTTCTGTTCTGCTTTTCCAAACCCTTCCTCAACCCACTCGACACACCAACATTCTATTCCCTGGACTGTGGGACGGTAACCGGGTGCCTGGCACCCGAGACTGAGACTGCTTTGCCAATTCCTTTTTGTGTGGGGCCACGTGTTTCTAGACCTACCACAATACACAGAAACAAGCACGTGAGATGCTGGGCCCACCTGGAATTTACTAGATGGGAAGCTCAAGAATCTTATCAGTAACAATATAGGGACGATGAGAGAACTGAACATTTAACTGATCAAGTTAAACAGATCCAAATTAAGTGGAGGTTGTCTGGAGTTTCCTGACAGATCTTGTGCTTGGATTCCCATTCGAAAAGTAAAACTAAAGCCAGCTTCTTTGCTATTTTTCCTTTAAGGCATAATAATAAAAGAGGCCCAGGCAAGGTTAGATGCTGTCCTATAAGCTCATCCATGACTGACAACAACAACAGGTAAAGGAGAAACTACCACAAAGATCACCACCCCCGTAAAGAGACCAATGGAGCCTTTCCTCCCTGAAAGCAAAAATCCTTCCATACTTTGGATTTTAGGCTCAAATCTAAAGGAAGAAATAAAAATTGGTATTAATTTTGCCTACCTAAGAATACAGGGGAATATGTACTTATTTTGAAAGGTAGATGGTATGTCTAATTTTAGCTACACTTTTCTGATGTATATCCCCCACCCTCAACCACATAACTATCAGGAGCCAATTAACGGAAAAAAATTATCATGTAAACATGGGGTTAAGTGATCTTCTCTGGGAGACAGGCAATGAAAAGGGGGTGTTCAGCATCATAAATAATGCCATGTTAGGCCTTTTTAAAAATACGGTCAAGATTTTCTTTTAATATCTTCAAAAGACTGTTCTAGTCTACTTTCTCTATCACTAGCTGAAAGCCCAAATTACAAAATTCTTCTAATTCTGGTACAAAGGAAATTTTTCATAAAATCAAAGACAACTTTACAAAGACTGAATCTGTAAACTTTCTCACAGCTTAAACTAATGCATTAGGCCCTGGTCAGTGTGTTCAGTGGTTAGAAAGTGGGCCCTGCAGACTGAAGGGTCGTACATTCGATTCCCAGTCAAGCGCACGTATCTGGGTGTAGGTTCAACCCCTGGTTGGGGAGGTACCCCGATTAATGTGCCTCTCTCACATCAGTGTGTTTCTCTCTCTCTTCCCCCTTCCTTCCAATCTCTCTAAAAATCATCCTCAGTGAAAATTAAGTGCCTACCCCCAAATAATAATGATGATAATAATAATAATACTGTGGTAGAATTGTAGGAAGAGTATTTTGGTGCCAATTAAAAGGCACTAACTATGTAATAATAACTGCCACTGCATGGAACACCCCTCTATACACTATAGAGCCAAGTGAAGTGGGACAAGGCTGGGCACTCGATTCAGGACGGGCTGGGAACGGGGCACAGGAAAGGGCAGTTACCTCGTGTGGGAAGCAGCATCGTTGATGCTGAAAGTGCTGCTCTCCCGGGTCAGAGGGCTGGAGCCGGCCTGGCTCTTGCTGTGGATGTCCAGGCTCAGGGAGGACTCTGCTTTCCGGTCCAGGCCGTGGCTCTCAGCCTCTAACGTCCGATCCACCATGGAGATGACCTCGCTGGAACTGTGCCACAGGGGGGCCACTTTCTCCTTGCTGGGCCCCGAGCGAGGCGAGGCCGTGGCGGCCCCCAGGGAGGCGCTGCTGCCGTGGCTGGGGCCGTAGGAGGTGGTGTCGATGCCGCTGTCGGCAGAGGTGCCCTGCAGATAGTTGTAGCTGTTGAGCTCGGACTCAGTGCGGTCCCCGTCATACCATTTCTCGTCACTGTGGGCGCTGGACGCGTTGCTGGAGAGGGTGTTGCTGCTGGAGTGGCTCGAGTAGTGGCTGTCAGGCTGCAGGGGAAGCAGAGTTACTCACGGGCAGGCTCTGCCTCGTGAACACCAGGAAAACAACAGGGAGAACGACCCGCAGTGTGTCTAGTGATGGGTCCAAGGCCAAAGGTTCTAATGGTGGGAAACCGAGGTCCGGCTGGAGGTGCCTGGACAAACCCAGGCGAAGGCTCGATGGCAGAGAGCGCTGGAAATGGTTTCTTAAGAACCCATTTTTCATTATTTCTCTTATGCCAAAGCATGAACAGTACTGAGGTCCTTTTAATTTGAAAAAAAATCTAAATCGTTATTAGTCTTCAATATTTTAATCCTAAAATAGAAAAAAATGACACCTCCAAAAGGCTTTAAAATTAGAAGAGACCTACTGTGCTCAGAGTAAAGAGAAGGCAGAACCTAAGACTTATTCCTAAAGAGAGCTCCCCAGTGCGCATCTATTTAGGAGATAGCTTTCTGAGGAGGGCTCAGAGGTATGATGTATACAGAGGTGCCAAGTGAATTCAATGGGGGAGGCTGGGAAGGGAGAGTAACAGTCTTTTCAACAGACGGTGCTGGGACACGTGGATATCCACAAAGAATGAAATTGGATCCTTTCCACATAGAAAAATAAACTCAAAAAGATCAAAGATGTAAATGTAAGAGCTAACACTGTAAAACTCTTAGAAGAAAACATAAATGTATATCTTCATGACCTTGGATTATGCAATGGTCTCCTAGAGATGACCCCAAAAGCACACAAAAAAGAAAAAAAATTGATAAACTGAACCTCATCAAAATTAAAAAACTTTTATGTTTCAAATACCCTAATTAAAACATGGGCAAAGGATTTAAATGGGCATTTCTCGAAAGAAGATATACAAATGGCCAACAAGCACATGAAAATATACTCGGCATCTTTAGTCACTAGGGAAATGCAAATCAAAACCACATGAGATACACCTCACACACAGTGAGATGCTATACACAAAGGGGCAGACAAGAATGCTGGCGGGACTGCTGGTGGGAATGGGAACTGGGGCCGCTGATGTCCAACAGCTCAGTCCCACTCTGTGTCGACTCAAGAGAAATGAGGACATGTTCACACACCACTTCCATGCGCATGTTTACAGCAGCGTTATTCATGAAGCCAAAAGCCAGAACAGCCCAAGTGCCCACTGGCTGATACATGGATAAGGAACTGTGGTATTTCTAGACCATGGACTGTTATTCCGTCATACAAAGAAATGAAGTACTGACATGTTATAACATGTACGACTCTTGAAAACATTACGCAAAACTGAGTGAAAGAAGCCAGACATAAAAGGCCACACATTCTGTTCCACTCATGTGAAACGTCCAGAACAGACACTTCAACACGGACAGAAAGTAGGTTCGTGGCTGTCGAGAGCTTGGAGGGGAGGGAAGAGTCAGGGCGATGACTGAGGTACAGGGTTTCTCTGGGGTGATAAGTTTTCTAGGGTTGGATGGTGGTGCTGGTGGCACAACCCTGTGAATATATTAAAAAAACCATTAAATTGTACACTTTAAATGAGTGAATATTAAGGTATGTGAATTGTATCTCAATTAATAAAATGAGTACAGAACCCTTTCTACACAGTGGCTTAGTTATTTAGAATATTTTGTAGCTTACCAAAGAAATAAGATTTCCTAGGATAGCTGAATAAAACAGTATTTTAAGAGAAAAGTGGAGAGAAGGAATTGTGTGTGTGTGTGTGTCTGCTGAGGATAGCAGCAGGAGGAGGGCACTCAAGTTTCATTTCAAAGTGCAAAAATAAAGCTCTCTCCTTCTTAAACAAGAATCAATCCCAGTTATTTTACCAGTGCTACTCTAGTTTTTCGCAACAACGTTTGTGTTACAGACCTTCATTCATTTTTAGTATCTGAGGGCAGAATTTCTCAGCTCTGCACTGTCTGTGGAATTGGCAGCCCCCAGGCACGTGTGGCCACTGTGCACCTTACACGTGGCAGCCTGCACTGAGATGGGCTGAGAGTGAAAAGTACATAACATATTTCTGCAGAAACAGTACGGGAACCACACTGGAATTTTAAGTTTTCTAGTGGTCAATTTTTAAAAAGTACAAAGAAACAGGTGAAATTAAGTTTAATATGTTTTCTCTAACCCAACCTATCCCAAATATCATTTTACCATGTAATCAATATACCGATTAGTAATGAAGGTGCGGAAATGGACAGATTGGGGCAATCGCCCATTTATAAGCAGAACTGTGACCACATCCTGTCTCGTCAGTATATCTCCCCACACAGCCTGTGTGAGTGCTTGCACACACGTGCTCCCCTCTTGTGTTTTTAGCTCCCATAATCATTTCATTAGAGCAAAACTGAGAGGAGCCCTCTCATCTCTGGGCATCTTGTAAGTTAGTGAAATGAGACAGTCTTTCCTCACCCTATTGAATGACATAAATATAAACACACATTTCAGTGGGCAGACAGACCAGAGAGACCAACTGCACTGAAAGGGGGGGAAACGATGACCTCCATTCCCCACTCTAGTGGTAAGTGATAAGGAACTGTGTGCCACGATGGTGAAGGACAAAATGTGTGCAGCTCTGAAAGATAAGAGAAGCAGTAGGGAGAGCTGTCAGGAAGTTGTCTGTTCAACCACACCTCATGCTTGCAACTGTGTAAACAAGTAAAGTCCATTTCTCACACACTTCAATTCATAACATTTTAGGACTGTTTGTGAATGGGATCACCTGGCCTTTCACCCAGATGATGGGGTGGCAGGTGCATACCAAAGAGGAATTTCAATTTATCTCAGAGCACCCTTGTTGGCAGCAGAAAGCCCAGGTCCAGGATAGCAAAGGCCCCCTTCTGCCAGGATGACTTCCTCTTTGACCACGTGGGAGGAAGAATAGAGCAGACCTGTACCATTTTCACAGCCATCACAAGGAAGGTGCATCGCTAGGCACCTACCACTCCTATTATTTTACAGTGAACTTACATGCCCCTGTTTGTTCGGAGACAAGTGAACCACTGGATCCTGCCGCATCAGCCTCCCACTGGGGCTCTCTCGGAACGTGGGCAGTACCTTCGATACTGCTGGGAGGTGGCACGTCGGCTCTGCAACACAGCACAGGGCATTATGGTGCGGGCCGAAGCAGACCCAAGCACATGTCAACAAATGAAGACAGCTTGCCACGGCACCTCTGAGCTCACTGACCAGCAAACTCTGAATTTCAGCAATAAGCTTGTTGAGAGTTTACACAATAGACAGCATGTCAGAAACTAAGTGGCTGATGGGTAAAGCTTGCAGCTGGTGACCACATGAGCAGAGCCAAGTACCACCAAACCAAAGGCCATGAACAACGCGGCAAAGTTAGAAATCAACTTTTGGTTTGGGGAACAGTCTAAAATACATGGATTGAATTTATGAGATTCATTCACTGCAAAGTGTAGCTAACCTAGCTTGGTCTACATTACCTAGACAGGCATGGATGCAATCACGTGTTACTTACCATGACACCTTGGAAATATTTTACCTGTATATTCATGCTGCTCGAGGAAAAAAGAATTGAAATCCTGAGGTCCTCTATAACTGTAAGCTAAGCACAACAGAAAAGACACACAGCAACTAGTTTACTTAAAACAATTGCTTCCTTTTGGAGTCCACGCTGGCGTTCATGATGGGGTTCCAAAGGTGCAAGGTAAGTGATTTTACTTCTTTCACACACTGCTAGCTAACAGCAATGATTCCGGACTTCGGCAACACCCTTCCTAACACATAATGGACTGGGCAACATACCCTTTTGCTTTGATTCTCAACCATTTCCAAAAGCAGAGGCACAGAAAAATGAACAGCCACGGAGATAAGTGAGTTCATTAAGCAAGCTACACTCCTCGTCTCCACTGGGGCACCAGTTCATAGCACACTGATGTACAAAGATGGTGGGTGGGGGGTGGGTCTGGCTTACAAGTAAGACTCTCCTCAACATTGTCAATGAGTGACCTGAAAATCATTAGAGAATTTTGTTCTTACGAACTGAGTGTGTAAAGGTCAAGCCTTTACACACTCAATACAGTGCAATGAGTAACAAGACATAATTATTTTTGTCGATTTCTCCCTAGCATGGCATGACTAAGCCGCCGAGTGTCCTTCTGAGGTTCCCATTAGAAAAGGCTGGGCTAGTCTTCTGGAACGTAAAAACGTACACAAACTTATTTTATTTTAACATTTTATTTCAAGCCTTAGATTTTGAATAGAGAAAGGCCCCACTTGGTGAAAAGGCTCTTCTGGCAGGCTCTAGGGCAGTGATGGCAAACCTATGACACGCGTGTCAGAGGTGACACGTGAACTCATTTTTTTGGTTGATTTTTCTTTGTTAAATGGCATTTAAATATATAAAATAAATATCAAAAATATAAGTCTTTGTTTAGTATGGTTGAAAATATCAAAAAATTTCTATATGTGACACAGCATCAGAGTTAATTAAGTTAGGGTTTTTCAAAATGCTGACACGCCGAGCTCAAAAGGTTCAGCATCACTGCTCTAGGGGTATCTTGCAAAAAAAAGGTGTATCTTACTAAAAAGATGAACAAGTGAGTTAAAAGGATTCATCCATATTAATTTCAGAGTCTTATCTATTAAAAGTGGGATGCCACTAAACTAAAGGGGATGCGAGAACAAAAGAACTAGAGGGAGGTTTCTGTGCAAGAATGAATACGGTCTAGGACGAACCTTATAATTACCCTTTCCTTTCCTCACATGGCTTCCCATGAGTAGGAAGTGACACTGAACGCTGCACAAAGGGCTTGCTGGCAGCTTTGTTCAAAGCGTGCACCAGGAGCCAGAAAAAGCTGCTGAAGTCATGATGAAGAAGGGATCCTTTGCGCACGTGTCGTTACCAGCTCCACAGTATCAAAACATATGGGCTTAAACACATTCTGCTAAGAGCAGAGCAGAATATGCTCAGGTTTTCTGTGTGGTGGGTGGGTGGGATGAGAGGGGGAGGGACAGATGGCTTCAATAACCAGGCACATTGCACTGAAGTTATTGCAACAAAGCATATCTTTAAAACCTAGGAATTATATTTCTTTTCCCCAACGTGTGTCTTAGCTCAATACATCTCCACTTCCTTCTATGTTCGTGGTTAGTGCCTTTACACAGGCATAGTCATTAAAACAGAATGAGACAGACAATGCATTTTCTGGGAGGATAAAAAGGTGGGGCTCTGTCTTAAAACGTATCTTTTTTTCAGACCTGAAATGTATTTGTTTTGAATCTCACACCCCTGGTAATGCTACTAAAAATAAGATAAAGGAAAAAAATACCTGTCTAGATTCAAGACCATGATGTATCAGCTGTGTTGATACTAAAAATCTATGATACTATTGTGTTGAAACTTAATCATGTTTCATAGCAAAATTTTATTGTATCAACTCATGTAATGGTGTCATTGCAGCAACTACAAATATATACAGAGAAATATATGCATTAGGAAACCAAATGAAGGCTCTCCTGAAAATCTTCCCCATCCAGCTCTTTGTCCTGCTAAGACATGTCCTTAGCTGGCAGCTTAATAGCAGAGGAGGGGAAAAAAGCATATAGGGGAGGAAAGAGATACTAACCATGCTACACATGTGACTAAGCAACAATTTTGTATCTCTTTCCCACTTTGTACATAGTTTTTAAATTTTTATTTATTTATTTTAAACTCTTTGTAAGAATACCAACAAATCTTTCAGGGCACTTGTAAGAGGCAAAAACAAAAAGACAGATGAAAGGGTTGGGAGATACTTAGGACATGTGGTTTGGCAGTCTGGCAATTTAATTTGGGTTCTGAAAAAAAAAATTCCTATGTCATTTCTATTTTTAGATTTAGGGTCATTTAGAATTCCTTGACTTTTCTCTCAGGTCTTATTTGTTGCTTTCACTTATACATAATCTAACCAAGACTTAACTCTCATTCACATTTATTAACCAGGGCTGTTCATCTAACCAAGACTTAATTTTCATTCACATTTATTAACCAGGGCTATATTATATAACAGAATGCTTTGATGACATCATCAGGAGGACGCCCAAGTCACCTTGGTATAAAAGCAACTAGCTTTTTGTAGAAATTTAATTACTTACCCATCTGGTCGGCAATGCTATCCTCACTTCTTTGCCAGCTGGGTGTGGATTTTCCGCTGCCACCAAGATCTGCCTGGGTGTTCTGCCTGTCAATGGAGGCTGGGGATCTGCGGCTGACTCCAAACCTGTGGTGATTTCCCCAAACAAAGGCAAAGAGGACATCAGAAACCTCACCCATAAAGGGAAGGAGTCCTGGGTGTAGTGAACCTCACTCTAAGGACAGGTACTACTAGTTTCGCTTGCCTGTCTGTACTTGTGCAGCCAGCCCTGTGCATGTGAATGTGGATGCCGGAACTGTGTTTGCTGTAGTCAGTTCAGAAAGGTATGTAGGCTAAGCATTTAAACTGTAAACAAGGCCAGGAGCCATCAGGACGGAGCTAACTTAAGATAAACAGAGTAAGAAACCAAAGTCTTCTAGCCCTTGTGTAGCCAACCACAGGCTGTCACTCACACACAGCCAAAGGGAAATTTTCACCATCCCAATGTTCCATGTGTATCTTCCGACTGGTACATGTCAGGGGTTTCTCGTAACTCAGTAAACTGCTAAATCACTAAATAACTAAATCTGCTAAATCATTCATTCTGGGAACTAGTATTTTCTGAGCACTCTAAGGTCTGAAAGACAAACACTGCTATCATTTATATAGAGACCACTTTCAAAATAAACTGCCTTTGGGGAGGGCTACTTACAAGTAGGTAAAGTGGCTTTTGTAAAGGCAATTGTCTATTTCTGGAAAGACTGTTTAGCTGTTCAATCAGCCAGTTTTATTTTTCCCAGTGTAGAACAAACATATAATACATGATTAAAGCGTGCACCCTGATGAGCCCTATCAGCAGCGTAAATCCTGCCTGAGCCCAGGAAAAAGGGCCAGAGTGTAAAATTCAAACGTTCATGTGGAAATTTACAAATTTGTGTATGGTTAACTAATGAACTTATACAATGAAAGACTACACAGGGCCTGATGGATTGATGCATATGACAGATGTCTTCTTTACTACAAACTGATAGATGCCTGGGGAGAACAACCACGTGGTGCTGGTGGAGTCAAGTTCTGGCTTTCCCACTCCAAATTACTTAAGTGTCAGCTTCATTTCTTTATTTGAAAAAGAAGAAGAAGAAGAAGAAGAAGAAGAAGAAGAAGAAGAAAAAACCGGCAATTCCATTATATGGGTCCAGGGAGGAAAAGCTCGATGAAAGCATTTGCAAAGTAAAGAAAGCTACAACATATTTTCGTAAAACTCCTCCAATACCGTCTCCCTAGTTGCTTTTGCATAAATGACAATTGTTTACAGACTCAATCACAAGCCTCACTAAACAAAGTTACCTCTATTGTAAAAACCAAAAACCTTGATTTAGGAAAAACTCAATAACTGTGCATTTACAAAAAAAAAAAAAAAAAAGGCATTCATTAATTATGATCTTTGCCCTCTCCTCCCTAAGTAGGGTGCTTCTTTAGTTCAGAACAGTGAAGATCCTCGAAATGGCCCTATGATCCTATTCTAAATTTGCACTAAATTACGACTTTTTCACAAAGGCACAGAGACTGCGATTTTGCTTTTACCTTTTTGGTAGCAGAGGCAACTAAGGACCTTTTAAACCTCTGAATTTAAAGCCGAGTGTTTTTCTCGCTATCTGGTTTCAAATAACGTAAGGCTGTCTTTAAATTCTGCCTTTAAAATATTTTCATCCCACGGACTTTTAATTTCAGTTCTCACACATACTCATTGCGTGCAGGGCACTAGGGACACAAGGACCCTACTCTTGAGGAGCTCAGACAAACCTGTTCAAGTTGTGCCTCTTTTCGAAGCTTTACTCTACTTTTGTTTGGAGGAGCACTGAACGTTGAAGGCTCAGATTTGGAGGAGTTTTTAGTAATCATCTGGCTGACACATGAAGCACGTTCAGTGACCAGGAGCCTGTCCACTGTTCTCCGGAGCAGGCTCACGGCTTTGAATAGCTCCCAAATAAAGGCCTGGAAACTTCTCTGTAACTTTCATTTATTGGTCTCTGTCGCCCTCACAGACAAGTGCAACCCTTCACCTAAGATTGCCTCCTCGCCCCCACAATTCTGACCTTCAGGTTGTACATCCTTAGTGATGTTTCTCACACCGGTCTCCAAATTCCTCATTTACCCCTCCCTCCCTCCCTCCCTCTGGACATGCCCTACCCTGTTAACATTCCTCAAAGTGTGTGGCCCCAAAAGAAGTCCCCAAGGGTGGCAGAGCAGACCCCATGTCTCCTCCCGAGAGCTGCTTTATGACGACCTCTCATTCTCATCTTAAATGTGTGCAGGTGCCTTTTGCCCGCCCACTCGAATGGAGCAGGCAGGATTAACCAGCGTATTAAATTTCACCTCTCAGCGGATTTGGATGGTCTCAATATCCTCACCCAAGGGAGTGGGCAGACACATCACACACATGCAGACACCAGGTCCTGAATCCGGGACAGGAGAGGACAACGAAGGAGCAGGCTACATTTACGAGCAATGACTGCACACTGACCAACTATCATGATCGTAGCTTTAAGCTTTTAAAAGTTTATTATTAATGAGTTGGATCAAACTACATACACTCCTGTGATCCTTTTCCTCTCGGGACAGGCAACTTTTGGGATTATACATGTGAATTAGACAGGGAACCAATTGCTCTTGCATCACTGATACAGGCAAACGCTGCGTGGGATCCAGCAGAAACACTGAATCATAGGGGTTCAGACGGAGTAACCCCAAGAAGTAACTCTGTGGAATGTGGATTATTTTTGAGCTAAAGGCAACTGAGATCCTTTGGGCTCAAGAGAAACTTCAGCCCTCTCCTTAACTACCTAGAAGAACTTAAATTAGGGGTTTGCCCATAGGAGATTATCCCTGACAACTTTTTCTTACCTAGCCTCAGGGCAGGGCAAACTAACTGAACATCTGTTCTTATTGTCTTGTGATGACCTTCCTCCTTCTGAAGCCCCAAGGTGCCTGACCTTATTCTTAGCTCTGAAGGTCAGATATACCTCATTTTCTCTTTCTGTTTCGAACCTCGCATGTATGTGGGGTTCCCATATGCATGTATGTAATTGAATTTGGCTATTTCCTCATTTTGATCTGCCTCATGTAGATTTAATTTTTAAGCCAGTGAAGGAACCCTGAAGGGTAGAAGAAAGTTTCTTCTTCCCCCATAGTATCATCCTCATCTTGCAAAGTATCCACCTTAGAAAGGACATCAGCCCTAGCGGGTTTTGCTCAGTAGCTAGAGCATCGGCCTGCGGACTGAAGGGTCCCAGGTTCGATTCCAGTCAAGGGCACATGCCCAGGTTGTCGGCTCGATCCCCAGTAGGGGGCATGCAGGAGGTAGCCAATCAATGATTCTCATCATTGATCTTTCTATCTCTCCCTCTCCTTTCCTCTCTGAAATAAAAACATAAAAAAAAAAAAGGACATCATACAGTACAGTAAACAGTCATGGGATAAGCTCACTAACAACGGGCAAAACCCTCAATACCACCGATGGCAGAGTTAGTATAAACATCAAGTTGCATAACTACTACCTCCTTAAAAAAAACTGTGCAGCCCGGGGCACTGAAATCATGGTTCTAACATAAAGATTCACCAAAACGTTAACGTTTCAGCTCACGTTTTTGGTTCATTAAAATTGTATCATAGAATAATGCTTTTTTTGGTACTGTTGCTAGTTCATTTCTATTTTACTAGAGGCCTGGTGCACGAAATTTGTGCAAGGGCAGGGTCCCTAGGCCTGGCCAGTGATCAGGGCCGACTGGGGCCTTCCGGCTGCCAGCCAGGGCCTTCCTTCCCCAGCTGCCAGCTGCCGGCTGTTGGCCAGGGCCTTCCTTCGCTCTGCACCACCCTGTGGTGGTCAGTGCACGTCACAGCGAGTGATCGAACTCCCAGTCTTCCGGCTGAACTCCAGAGGGGACACTTTGCATATTAGCCTTTATATATATAGATAGATTGTTGTACCAACACTGAGGTTGCAGTGAATTCTTATTTTTGAAGTCAAACAAGGCCATTTAAAATCTACTAATTAAAACAAGAAATAATTAGTTGGGCTTGTGGTTTGGCATAATAATACTTAATTCATAAAACCTTTTGCAGAAACTCATGAAAAAGAGCTAAAATTTTTTCTAGTTGTCACTGAAGTAATTAAAATAAGACATGCACATTTTAGAGATACTACCAAGGGAATCCTGGGGGAGACACTGGGGATGGGGGGGAGAGCATATTTTATAGTGGTTTTATTACCTAATTTCTGCTAACATAAACATTTTGCAACAACAAAGAAATCAAGCTTAATAGCTGTAAAAACCGACAAAGCACTATAGATAAAAATACCCACTATGAAGGTATTCTTAGTAATAAACATGATTATTGTGTAACATGGTAAAATCTCAAGAAAATAAACAAATCCTGTGTGCATTTGTTAAAATGGGGAAAACTCGGAACAGAAACATCAGTTTTTATCAACTCCTTATATTTGATCTTAAAATGGTCCCAGGTTCTTTGTCAGGGTCTCACGGGGAGGATACCCTGGCGGAAGCCGCTGCTGCTCCCTTACTGTTCCTCTGGGCAAAGCCTAAAGCTTCTGTGCACCATGTAATGCTTTGCTGCTAATTCTTCCAGGCTTCAGACATTCCCATTACTTTCTCCTTTTTAGTAGCCTCTGAAATCATGTACATTTAGCTTTTTACTTTGTAAGTCTTTTCAGAAGCAAATAGTTACTTTTGGGTGTTTAGTGTTCAAAACAAACAAACAAACAAACACCATGAAAAACATATACCAACCCACAGGTTGAAATCACAGAAGACTTTTAAAGTATGAAAAAAATAATTTTAAGCTTTGGATCTCATGATCATTTCTCCTACTGTAACAGCAAAACAAACTCTAACCAGTTCAAGCAGGATACCGCTGAGTTCACTTTGGAGGACATATTAAGAAATGACAAAACTGTACTATGAAAATAGGCAACATATATCATGGAGAGGCTGGTGTAATCTGACTTCTCTGTCTCTGAGTCCTTAGAGACCAGAGAAGGATATACAGCCCAAGAAGTGGTTTGAACCAGCCATGAAAACATTTTTCCATCTGAAATTATTTAACCATATTTCCCCTTTTGATCTTTTGTAGTAAATTGATCAAGGCTGGCTGAATGGAAATCATTTTACACCTCTGAATGACAGATGAAAGACAGCAATGTCAACTAGGACCGTGCACATTGGGGCACACCTACCCTTCAGGCATGGATTTCTGCCTGTATGTGCCCCCGCCAGAGCCAGTCTCGCTGGACGAAGACAGGTTGCTGGGGGAGTTACGGCACTGCTGGGATCTCGCTAAAGCCATGGACGAGACCGTCACGTAGATGTCCGAACCAGGAGACAGCCTGCATGTACAAACCAAAAATATGAAGTCAACAATTCAAAGGGAAGAGTCCCAAGGCAGGCATGATGGATAATATCATATAAATGCGACAGAGGCAGAGGCTTCATGGAGATGGTGAAAACGAAGCCAGCTGGAAGCCTACGCAAGAACCGTCCCCATGCAACTACTCCCTCAGGGAACCACTGGAAAACTGCCTTGAAGGGGGCGGAAAAAAAATAACAGGGAAAAACACGTATGTTTCCAAAAGCTGCCAGAATTCAATAGGCTGAGTTGCGCAGGCGGTTTCCTAGTATGGCAGCGTAGAGCATAATTGAACCCCAGTGACATTAACACAGCAATTAATTCCGCTTTCACACTGGTTCTCCCAGAGTACATGGCCAGGGGGAGACTGGTACATTCTTTGTATGCTCCTTTGTTTTCTAATTTTATTACTCAGAGTCTGAAATGAATATTCAGATTCTGCTATTTAGTATTTATGAATTTGGTTGATAGTAGCATCACCATATAAAAACCTCTATGAGCCGAGACCGGTTTGGCTCAGTGGATAGAGCGTCGGCCTGCGGACTGAGGGGTCCCAGGTTCGATTCCGGTCAAGGGCATGTACCTGGGTTGCGGGCATATCCCCAGTGGGAGAAGTGCAGGAGGCAGCTGATCGATGTTTCTCTCTCATCGATGTTTCTAACTCTCTGTCTCTCTCCCTTCCTCTCTGTAAAAAAATCAATAAAATATATTAAAAAAACAAATTAAAAAAAAACAACAAAACAAACAAACAAAAAACCTCTATGACAAAAAGTGCCTAAAACTGCAGTTGTTGAAATTTAACTAAATTTAATTAATGAATCTCGCCTAATACATCTATTTCCAAAGCTATGGGGCCTTTGCCCTGCTGATAGCTCAAGGGACAGAAACTGGAGCTTTGTAGTCAGGACAGATGCTCTACTCCAGCAGCTCTAGTAGGAACGTGGTAAGCACCGGAATATCAACGTGACACTGACAATGTGCCCAGGTGAGAACTAAACCTTAATCACACGGAAGCTGGCACATCATTCGACTCCTGTCGCAGGTCACTTCCAGTTTATCACTGAGGAAGTGGAATCGAAGCCATTCATTCAATAAGCCCGGCCTCTTGATTCTAAGTTGGCCACACTCTGTGCTAAGCTACTGCTGCCCTCCAGGAAGGCTGGGCGTTCTTTCCCTAATCGGACAGTTGGCCACGGGTCTGCACGCTCAGATGACTTTGCATCAAAGTGCAGAGGCCCTGGGGCAGAACCCGGTTCACTGAGGTACGGCAGGTTCCCATGGTGAACCCCTAAACTTTCCACAGCAGGGCAGACTGGGGTTTCAGGTACAGGAAGCTGACAGGAGGGATAACAGAATCACAATGAGAAGCCTTTCTAATGGAAAAAGAATAAGGATAGATACCAAAATGCATGACTCCCCAATCCATCTAGGCCCTAAGGACAGAGCTGACGTGAAAGCTAGATCTCTCAGTGACAAGCCCGTTATCTCCAGCTGTCTCCTAGATATCCTTAAGGGGCACCCTCACCAGCAATTCCAATCAAACCCCCTAAAAACTAACCAATTTTTCCCATTCCCACCCCTTGCACCCCAAACCTGCCCCTCCTCTATCTGTTATTCCAAGCTAAATGTTTTTTCATCCCTTCCCCACTTTTCTCATCTTCCACAGTCAATTGGTCTAATTAAGTTCAACTGTTACAGAGCACAAACCTTGTGGTCAGGCACCCTGGGTGCTAGTCTGGAAAACACAAAGACAAGGGAGAGAACTAGTCTCCAACTGGCTGACTGTCCTCTAAGGGCCCCCATCTCTGCCTGGATCAGGATAACAGTGCTTTATCTGGTCTTCTAATGTCCACACTCTGTCCACCCCAGGCCTCCAGTGCCCCTACCATCTGAGTCCTCTGACTGCCAACACCTCTCCACAGCTTCCCTTTGCTTACAGGACAGAAGACCAAATCCCTGGCACCCTCTGCCAGGCCCTGGACCGTCTCGCCCAAGTGCATCCTCATGTCCATCCTAATCTCCCTGCTCTTCACCTGCCTCCATGCATCCTCCATCCTGGTCACATGCAGCGCGCCCCAGTCCTCAGACTCACCCACCAAATTCATATCTTTACTTAGCTTGTCCTCTCTGCTGGGAGCATCCTCCCTTTTCTACTCACAGAGCATCCGTTCTACCCAAAGCCCAATTCCAAAATCATAGGCCTGAATTCATAGATTAATTAGAACCTCAATCCCACAACAACCTGCTCTTTGCACCACTGTAGCACTCCCTATGGAATCATTACTTTTATGTGTGTCTATCTCCCCAACCAGATTCTGCTCTTATAGGGCAGGACTGAGCCTTATGTATCTTTATATCTCTGGTTGCTTAACACACATTTGAAGGAGAATTCCCATCCGCAGTGTAGGAAATGAAGCGGTGGTTCAGGATAAGGGCCCGCAGTTACATGAGGTGTCCCAAGCCAGGGGTACTCCACCATGGTGCCTTTACATCAGATGAAAAACAGCTGGTCTCTAATAATAAAGTGCCAAGATTTTGGGAATAATTTGCTAAAAACACTTATAACACATTCAAGGTGATAACACGCTTTCTTAAATGTGAGAAAAGGGGATGGCAGAATTATGCCCAGGTACCCCCGGACATGTATCATCGATCTGACATGCAATGGCAAGAGAACTTCCTGGCAATGCCTCCTCTACAGAGTGTGAAATGGGCAAGGAGAGACCTGGGATGCTGGGTCCTCGGGAAGTTCAATGAGAAGCTAGGAAAAGAGGCAGAGTTCCTAAGGTCCTTCTGTTAACATCACCAATCTGGTCCCTGCTACCCAGATTTAGACAAATACAGGCGAACCGCATGGCTGGCATCCTCACTAGGAGGCCAGGGTCGAGAGAGGGCTATGTGTGGGCAGGGATGTGGGTCAGACCATTGGGTCTTGGAACACTAGCTCATCCCTACTTTGGGTAACGTGTTTTGATAAAAGATCAATACATTTATGCGGGCATGGATGTCCTTTTCATCTTTTCCATTAAGACCTCTCCCAAAGATCTATTTATTCTGAATTGGAAGGGGACCAGAGTCGGGGAGGAATGGGAGGAATAGAGCACAAAGACGAAAACTAGGTAAGGATTAAGGAACGGCATAAACCCAAATGTAACAAGAGACCACACTGCTTTCTGCCCTAAGAGTTTGGCCTTTATATGCACCTCATATACAGAAACTTCAAATGCAGTTTCATTTTGTAGCTGCTTTGATTTTCTTGCTGCAAAGAGGAGGAGGTGTTACAGGAAGATGGTGGGGGCGGGGGGGAGGGCGGGGGAGAAGGCAGTAGAAATGTTAACATTTTTGGGCCCGTTGATTTAACTCTCTTCTGGGTTAAGTTATGCCAATGAATTATATTTATGATGAACATGAAAATGTTTATGCTTCTATGAGAAAGTGACAACAGGATTCCACAGAGAAAGTCCAAAAGCAACTTTTATATCTGTATTTAGGGCTTGCTTTTCTTACCCTGCTCTCCAAAATGTACGTTAAGCTGAAATATCTAATGCTCCTTCTCAACCTCAGCCCTTTTATTTGGCAAGGGTATCAGAAAATTCTACTTGGTTACTGGAGTGATCCCAAAGTGAAAAAAAATAGCATTTCCAGAAGGCCGGCACTCATTCCCATCCCTTTTCTGCATTTCTAGAACTCAATAGCGGCTTTGTTTCCTGCCTGCTCACACACACAGCGCACACATACAGCAATGGATGGAATGGCACACCCAAAAGGTTTTAAGACTCTGGATGTATGTATGCTGGGGGGAAAAATCAGAATTATCCTTTCTTCTGATGCCTTACAGTTATTTCCAAATACTCTGAATTTGATACCATCACAGAAATATTGTTTGAGAACAGACCTCGTTCGGGGAGTGTAAGGGCCGCCTGCCGGCACTAGCCGTCCACTGCCAAAGAGAGCCTGCAGCTACCACTCCTGGAAGTCGGGCTGGTTGCTGTCCTGCCACTTTGAAAACACAGCACCCAAACTGGCTCACATGGGAAGTGCATGCTGACCTCCTGCATCTCTGTCCTCCCATCCACTCTATTTTAAGGGTTGCTGAGCCCAGTGAGGAGCACAAGATCACAAATCTTTCCCTCCCTTTTGAGATAAACCCAGACCGTTGTGCTTTCTCTTAGTCGTAATGAGCCTGGGAAATCCTAGATGTCTGTGCCCAAAGAGGTCAAGGGGACTAAGATGAACACATCTTTCAGTGGCTGTGAGATCGTTTATTTCTATAGGATATAAGAAACAATCTTTTGCCGAAACCGGTTTGGCTCAGTGGATAGAGTGTCGGCCTGCGGACTGAAAGGTCCCAGGTTCGATTCCGGTCAAGGGCATGTACCTGGGTTGCGGGCACATTCCCAGTGGGAGATGTGCAGGAGGCAGCTAATCGATGTTTCTCTCTCATCGATGTTTCTAACTCTCTATCTCTCTCCCTTCCTCTCTGTAAAAAATCAATAAAATATATCTTTTTTAAAAAAGAAAAAAAAAAAGAAACAATCTTTTGAAAGAAGGCTCTGGTCACTGTCAGAAAGGAAATTTCTAAACCTCTTAGCATTAATTTCAGTAATTTTCTTCCCTACATTTTCATAAATTTAGCCAAGAAATAACTAAATGTTTTTAAAGTAACTGATGTTAAATGTTCTCTTAAATGCTTTCTATTAATTTCCTCTGCAGAAATAAAATGCCAGGGTTTTGTGACTGTAGGAAGAATGCAATGATTGAAAGTCATGCTCATCAGCCCACAGACAACACGTCCATAGTCTGCAGGACACACACCAGCTTTCGTTTACAGGCAATGCATTTTGTTGCAGTGAAAGCAAAGAGCTGAAGGGATGGATATTTAAGAAGAGACAGTCCAAGATCAGTATCAGTTCCTTATTTTTACAGAAGTGTTCTCACACTAGGATAAAGGAGAAAAGAGAACTGCTAAAATCCAGATGT